AAGTGAAATAAGCCAGTTACAAGAAACTAAATATAGTGTGATGATTCCATTTACATGAAGTATTTAGCATAGTCAGTCATAGAGACAGAAAGTAGACTGATGGTTGCTGGGGGAAGAGGGGACGGGAAGTTATTGTTTAAGGGGTATACAGTTTCTGTTTTACATAATACGAAAGAGTTATGGGGATGGTTGGTGGTGAAGGGTGTACTTCATTATGAGTATATTATCAAGGAACTGTATACCTGAAATAAGATGGTAAATTTTATGTTATACGTATTTTAATATGAAAAAGTGGGGGAAAAAAGAATAATGCCCTGCCAAAGTTATCTGTATCCTAATTCCCCAAAACTGTAAATGTGTTATCTTACATGGCAAAAGAGATTTTGCAGAAATTAAGGATCTTGAGATGGGAAGATTATCCTGGTTTATCCAAGTGGGCCCATTGTAAGTACAAAGGTCCTTGTAGATGAAAGAGAGAAGTGGGAAAGTGAGCGTTAGAGGGGTTTGAAGGTGTTGCTGACTTTGAAGATGGGGGAAGGGGCCACAAGCCAAGAAATGCATGTGTACTCTAAAAGCTGTGAAAGGCAAGGAAACAAACTGTCCCCTGGAGCCTTTAGAAGGAACACACCTCTGATAACACCTGGTTTTAGCCCACCCAGTAAGACCTGTTTTGGATTCTGACCACCCCCCGCCCCCGCCACCCCAGACTGTAAGAGAATAGTATTGTTTTGAGCCAGTAGCTTCTGATAACTTGTTCCATCAGCAATAGGAACCTGATACACATTCCTGTCTCTGTTAGACTGTAACCTCTGTAGGACAGGGACCTAGTCTTCCCTGACTGCCCATATCACAGATGGTCACTGTTCCTAGAGCGCAGGTAGTTTGGCTTTTCAAATTGAGAGTATCTGACCAGACGATCCTGCCCCTTGTGCTCACCACAAAGCCTGGTGAATGGTCAGGCTTTTCCAGATTCAGGTCAGTTTTTCCAGAATATCCCAGTCCTTAAGAGCCCCACACTGGACTACCTCTAAAAAATGATTCACTTTTGAACAGTGAAGTTTACATCCATCATTGGGAGAGACAGTGACTTAATCCCACCTACTCCCAATATTGCAGACCAGTAAGTGGAATGCTCAGGGTTCAAGGATTAAAATGGGACATTCTTACAAGATGCCTGGGGATTCCAGCACTGAAGGAATGAACAAAGCCAAAATCCAAGAAGATAAGAGAGCAGTCTAGAAGATCACTGGCACTGAACGAGATCAGGGTTGATGTTACCAAGCCAGAAAAATGGGGATCAGGGAGAAGAGAGCAAACAAGCCAGGAACAAATAGGGAAAAGGGGGCTGTAGTATCTGGAACTGTCACACCTGGCACATAAGTGGTAAAACACCAAAGATGAATGGATGGCATTTGATCCACGCCCATACAAATCACTGCTTTTTTTTTTTTTTTTTTTTTTTTTTTTGCACATCTATACTTTCCTTTGAGGCAAAGTAGGGTTTTCAGGTGCTTGCGCAGGAGTATTGATGGTCCAATTATAGTTATTCCTAATTGAATCTGGCTGTTAATGAACAGAAATGAATATACCACTAAGATCCCTAGTCCTAGAGAACAAACAAAAACACTTTAAAATTCGGTAAAATTGAGAAGATCTCAGAATGTAATGTAATATATTAACTTTCAGATCTGAGTTTTCATATCTTCCATGTATTTTTAAAAGAAAATTCTGTAACTTATGTCTGATATGAATAAGGCCTTTTACATTTTCATTATAAACATTTAGGCTTAAAGTGATTATAACTGACAGTTCAGACCAACGGGAGCCAGTGGCCTGTTCATGGACAAATTATCTGTAATTCAGACTAAATCAAAAGTAAACATTTCCTAAAGTCCTTTCAGCTCTACATTAGTCCTGTGGAAGCCAAATGTAATAGACAAGCCCTTTCCCTTCCTCTCTGTCCTGTGAATTCTATGGGCTCACTTTAAAATGAATAGTCTTTTCTATGAAGCAATGTTATATGCATTTTGAACCATTTCCACATCTAAGTCATCGAATGCTTATTCATTTTTCTGAATCAACATGTTTATTTCATCAGGAGAATGTTGCAAGAGTACCTGGGATGTGTTGTTTCATAGTTTATGATTAGTATTTTCCTAAATAATGGGATGGAGAGAGGAAGAAAGAAGTAGTCTGATGATCTTCACTTTTTTCTTATCTGCATTTGTTCTCTTGAAGAAGTAATAGCAGTGAATTTGTGCCATTTAAAAGTTTAGAAAGATTAAGTATGACAAATTGTTTTAAATGACAAAGTTATATTTCTGAGTATCTCATTTGAATATGCTGATAATCAGTTTAAAAACCACACAGGCAGTAAGGGGAAGGCCAGCATTCTGAATCACAGAGCAGTAAAACTGTTGTCACCAGCAATGATGTCACTCATTCCCAAGGCTCCAAAAGACTGTTGGAAATTAACTTTAGGAAGAAATGTCTTCTGACTTGCCATTGGTTCTAAAAGGCAATCAGTGTTAAACAAGCACAGACCCCTTTTTGGAACCTATGTAATAAAGTCAGACATATTAATCTCTACTCATGCCTCTAGTCAGGGTCTGACCCCAAGTTCTTACGGCTACAATGGAAGAAAGCAAGGAAGAGCCAACTGACATAAGCTAACAGTTCATGTAAAGGTCTAGATGTGCCTAAGAGCAAATAAACATCGTTCCTCAACTTTGTGTTTGTATTGAGTCCCATAAGACAAAAAGTATCTCTCCATGATCATATGAGATTACATTACAGTCTCCATGTACTTTCACAGTGTTCAGTTAACACCCCTGAGATTTGACTTAAGAAAAGGGATGGAGAGAAAAGAAGAGGTCACTCCTGTTTAGCCTGGATGCTTTGGTCCTCAGACAAAGCATTGGCTTTAAAAAGTCAAAAGTCCTTGTGGTATCCTGCTTTTTCCACTGACAAATGTGTATGACCTAAAACATCTCAACTACTCTTCATGTGTGGAGTGAAGGGGATTAATACCTTCACTACCAACCATGAAAAATGAAGTGAGGTGAGGTAAAATACGTGAGTGAATTCGGCAGATCCTGTTACCGGACAATGAAAGGACAGTAATTTCTCTTAGGAAACTAAGAGAGCTGCTTTCTTGAGAAGAGAATAAGGTATATAATGTCATCTCACATCCTTAACAATATCAGAAATAATGCACGTTCAAGAAGTAAATACTTACCATGGCTATGAATAAAACTCTTCTTTGATGAAACTAGTAGCAAATCAAAATGAAAAAAATAATCCATTTGGAAAAAACAAGTTATGAATTAGAAAACTAGAAAAGATACTAGAAACTTTCCAGCCAGCACTTCCACATTCTTATTTAATTGGTGGCATCTCTTTTTTCTTTTTTTAAATTTATTCATTTTGAAAGAGAGAGAGCACAGCAGGGGAAGGGGAGAATGAAGGAGGGACAGAATCCCAAGCAAGCCCCACACCATCAGCACAGAGCACGATGAGGGGCTTGAACCCACAAACTGTGAGATCATGACCTTAGCTGAGATCAAGAGTCGGCACTTAACCAACTGTGTCACCCAGGTGCCCCTTATTAGCAGCATGTCTTCAGTGTTTCTAGGCTAATGAGATAAGCATAGATCTTTAATAATGCCCCTCTCACATTCCAGATTCCGTCTGAAAGGAGCAACAAAAAAGAAGCTGTGGAGGTGGACATGGTGGGCACCTGTATTCATGTTAAAAATAGGGAAGAGTATGGTAAAGGAAGACGCTAAACAGGGACTTGTAACCTCTCTTCCTGAGAGAAAATTATGTCCGTGAAACAAGACGTGTGGCCCACTTGGAATAGCATGGAGAGGACTGAGGATTTGTACAGAAGTGGCTATAGCAGCTGCAAACCTTACATCCTCTCAGATTCAAACCCAATGGAGAAAAAGTGAGGGCTTTTTTCCAAGCATTTCAGCAAAAGAATCTCCCTCCACTGTGATGTGTGCCATCCCTGAGCCATACTGATCAGCCAGAAGAATAAACTGTGTCTTTTATTACCTTAGGTCCTTGAGTCAGAGTGAATGGGGGAGGAGCCCCACCTAAAGCACGCTGGTTATAAGAGAGAGAGGTAGTTCCTCAGAGAGAAATTTGGGTGCAATTTCTTTAAAAAAAAAAAAAGTGAACGAATGCTTGGCAGCCACATTTAGTAAAACTGCAGGCTCTTGGTCACTGGATGCTTCGTATAGACCTGATTCAGGAGTGAGGTAGATTTAGCAAACCCTTGCTGGCTTTACTATTAATTTTAGGAGCTCATTTGCCATTGCTGTTGCTTCTTGTTCACCCATGGCACTGCTTGCGAGTTATTAAGCTGACTTCATGGTGATTTGTATAAAGCTAATCCAGCATTTGCTTGTTCTTGGGAGTCTGGCGCCTACAACCTGTCCTGCCAATATTCCTTGATGATGAACCGTGCTTTCAAAAGCAGGTGAACTGTCTCCTCCCCACCACAGTATACCAACACATTACAGAGCCCTTTTTTTTTTGAGGCCTCATTTTCCTGGTAGCTGTCTCCCCTGAAAAGATTCCCTTTGTGTATCCAGAAAAGAAACTATGGGATTTCTGACTTCTGAGTCCCAGTAGCTCTAATGGACTCTGTCCAGTTTGCCCAGATGTAGACTCTAAGCAAAGTGAGCCTTCCTAGGCTGCAGAGGACAGGGAGGGTGGGTGGCAAGCTCAGCACTGGCTGCACATTGCTCATTTGCTGCTGCTGCTGCTGCTGCTGCAACAGTGAGCAGGTCTCCCAGGGGGAGAAAAGGGCAAGCCACTGTGCTCTCGGGCAGGGGAAGGCTGCATTTATTCCTTGAGGTTTCTTGTTACCTTATTATACAACTCAGATGGTTTGCTTTTAACGGTCTGCTTGTCTTGTTCCATCTGACCTATAAAAATGCTAACATCCTTTAAGTAGATTTCTTTTAAAGATTTGAATGTTTCTTTGTCAGGTCAAACAGCGTATTTGACAATAATCGCCAGGATCCCACAGGACTGACCGCTGCTCTTCAAGCCACAGACCTGGCTGGAGTTCTGCACATGCTCTACTGTGTCCTCTTCCACGGCACCATCTCGGACCCCAGCACAGCCAGTCCCAAGGAGAGTTACACTCAGAACACAGTCCAAGTGGCCATTCAGAGCTTACAGTTCTTCAACAGTTTTGCAGCTCTTGATCTGCCTGCTTTCCAGGTACCAAGCATTGGTTAGTGATGGTGTTAACCAACCAAGAGTTAATATTTTAGTGTAGATAATGATGTGAGGTTCCTCTCCTGGATTGGGACATTAGGAGTAAACTACAGTAAAGGAAATCACAATATACATCATTTATTAAGCCACTATCATCTGGGAACTATTTTAGATACTCTACATATGCTTTCTCATTTATTCTCATGATAGCCCTGCAAAATATTACACCCATTTTGCAGATGGAAAAGCTAGCAGTTATTTGCCCAAGGTTACACGTGGCTATGCCAGGACTGGCACCTATGATTTTCTGATTTCCCCAAATCTGTGTCACTCTGCTACTAATAAATCTTCTGTGTTGATTTCTTCATAGAAAGGCATTATTATCCCATCAACTTTTAAATGTTAAGGGAAAGTCTTACATAAACAGAACCAAAGTTAGATAAATTGTTTTGATTGATATGACTTTCTGTGGATGATTTAACTGATTTGTGTCCGGTGTAAAGTGTATGTATAGTTATACATGCACACCCCCATAAATTAAGTTTTTATAGCAAAAGAAAGAAAAATTGCTTTATGCTGTAATACCAGACTGTCAGCTTAGAAATAGATTTTTTTTTCATGTGGGAAATTTAATTTTCAAAAACACTGAACCTTTGGAACAGAGCAAGCCCCAAGGAGTAGACTTTCTCTTTCAGTTTATTAACTGTCAAGTGATTTCATTAAAAAAGGAACAAACTTGGCAGATGATGAACCCATAATTTAGATGAATTGCTTTGCTCAGAGGGAGAAAGGGAAAAAGGTTATAGAGATATAAATGTATGAAAATGGTGGTCTTTGGCCATTCCCAACTAGACGAAACACTTGTTTTGTAGCTGATGACAAATGTGGAATTCTTGTCTTCCTGTCATTTTGTGCACAACAGGAAATTAGTGAGTAAGTTGTATCATTGGGCTCAATAGCTTTCAACTTGGTACAGTTAGTTTATCCATCACAAGAACAGAATCCTGTTTAGGGTTAAAGCATTTCAGTTTCCAAAGCAATTGAACACTATAGCCTTAGATGGTAACTACATAATGTGTAAAGTTCTGAGAGTTTACAGGCACACCTAATAAGGAGATATCTGCTCCAGAAAATGCCAGTGATTCTTGCCTCTGGGTTGAACATCTGTGTTTTGTGAAGACCCAGGCCCATTGTGTTCTGTGTGGAAACAGCTTGGAAATCCGGAGACACTAGTTTTTGTCCTCAGAACATGGAGACCAGCAGTCTACCCATCAACTAGTCCAACTAGAGTGATTTCTGTTGTTACTAGGGATTATGAAAAGAAAATATCTAAAAACTGTCTCTTAGCATCTAGTATAGGTCTTCTGACCAGTATTTATACTGCTGCAGGGTGCTCCACATCATAAGCAAAATCATCTGTATTAAGTCAGCCATTCCATGAGTCACTCTTGAATGTCGGATCCCAGATCCATGTGCTCCCCACACCATCCCTGTGAGCTCACAGCCTGGTCAGTCTCACTCAAAAGGAACACCACTGAACTCCAACCAGCCCTGCTCCCCGAATGGCCTTTAGGCACAGTTGCCAATAATGTTAGAAAAATCAAAAGCTTATTTCTGGAGCAAATGTCAAACTAACATAAAGACCAAGATTCTTTCTTTCCAGCTCTTTGCCATATCCAGCCTGAAATGTACCTCCTACTTGAAAAAGCAGCAGGAAAGATACCAAAGTGACTCAAGAGTGTTCAAGCCATTCTGTTTTTTATTTTATTTTTGTAATATTTATTTATTTTGAGAGAGAGAGAGTGCAAGCAAGCAGGAGAGGGACAGAGAAGGAAAGAGAATCCCAAGCAGGCCCCTGCACTCTCAGCAGAGAGCCCCATGCGAGGATCAAACTCAGGAACCTGTGAGATCAGGACCTGAGCAGAAATCAAGAATCGGACACTTAAGTGACTGAGCCACCCACTTATCCCTGTTCAAGCCATTCTTAGAATCAAATGCCCTGCCTACCAAGTAGAATGTCCTGTTCTGGCTGGTTCTTGATAATTCTCCAGTACATTTGTTTCTTTCCTCTCTGTCCTTCATGCAGCTCCATATTACTCTTAAGTCTCTCTTCCTGTTTTTTTTCCTCCTGTTTTCTTTTATCTTAGTCAATTTGGCCATCATTGTTTCTCATTCTCTCCCAGACACTGTTCCCAGGTATTCTTTTCTCTTGAACAGGTGCCTGGACCAGGAAAGCTCACAGGGGCCTCCCCCTGGCTGCCATCCTTTCAGTACTCAAGGTCCAGCACGTGTGTTTTTCTTACACCTCATCAGTATGTGCAGGGACCCACATGCCCAGAATTTCTAGCATCAGAGCCTTTAATGATTACCTTATTGTTCCAGTCACTTTTATGCATTTAAAACCAAACAAAAAAAGACTTAGTTACAACAACCACTTTATTATGATCACAGATTCTCTGGGTCCAAAATTCAGGCAGGGCTTATCACAGTAGGGGTGGCTTGTCACTACTCTCTGATATAGGGCTTCAGGTAAGAGGCTCAAATAATGAGGTGGGGGGGGGCAGGTTGACACAGATAGCTGGAAGCTAAATTTATTTGGAGGCCCCTTCGCTCTCCTGTTCAAATCGTGGGATGACTTAAAGACTAGGTTCACCAAGGACTGTTGGCCAGAAACACTACATGTGGCTTTTCTGTGTGACTTGGGCTTCTTAAAATGACACGGTGTCTGGGTTCTGAGTGAGTATCCTGAGAGGAAGCTTCCAGAAAACAAATGTTCCAAAAGAAACAGAAGCTGCATGGCTTTTTAGGACCTTGCCTTACAAGTCATATAGCTATATATCAACCATGCTCTTGGCTAAATCAGTTATAAGCCTTCTGGATTCAAGGGGAGAAGGCTTAGGCCCCACCTCTCAATGGGGGGACTGTCAAAGATTTATAGACATTTTTTAAACCACTGCACTCTTTTTAGCAAGCTAAAGTAAATCGTCCACACAGATATCATTGATGTAGATGGGTATCTGATCAAGCATGTAATACTCAAGTAAATATAATACAAATATACAATACTTGCATTGTAATGCAATTGAGAGAGTTTGGGAGAAAAGTACTATTTTTCTGATAAATGTGGTCAGAGAAACTCATGTTCTAGTTCATCAAAACAACTTACATGTCAAAAGTGAGATTTTTAGGACCTATGTTAATAAAAGACAGGAAAAGAGATTTTAGGTACAGCATGGATCTGACCTCAAGAAAAAATCTGGGAGACAGTTTATGAATTGCCTGTGTGGGTCAAAGGAACTGAAGAATAAAATTGAAATGAGATAAATGGTCTGACCTGCTAAACAGGATAATGTAAGACATGTTGACCATTTGAGTCCCAATGCATCACAAGAATGCAGAGCTCTAATAGGCATCCTCATCAAACCTTTCTGCATCTGGAGTCAGACTGATGTGACTGTAAGCCATTATACCACCAAGTTTTATGACCTTAGAGAAGTCATTTGAACCGTTATGGGCTCAGTTTCTCATCTGTAAAATAGAGATTAAAAACACCTACCTCACAAGTGTGAGGATTAAATGAGATTACATAAAGGCACTGTTCTAGCTAGCAAATAGTAGGCCCTCAAGAAATGTGGACTGGGGGCACCTGGGTGTCTCAGTCAGTTAAGTGTCTGACTCTTGGTGTTGGCTCAGGTCATGATCTCACGGTTCGTGGATTTGAGTCCTGTGTCAGGTGCTGACAGTGCAGAGCCTGCTTGGGATTCTCTGTCTCCCTCTCCCTCTCCTCTGCTCATTCTCTCTCTCCCCCCCGCCCCCACTCTCTCTCTCTCAAAATAAATAAACATTAAATTTTTTTTAATTTTTTTTAAATGTGGACTGACTCAGCTTCTGAAGATAAATAATTTACCCAAACCATTCTGCAGATGTTGATTCAGAAAGTTAACTTTTGAGTGAAGCTTCCCCAGTGCCCCTCCACACTTGTGTGAAGCCATGAACCTGTGTGCTCGTTTTATGTGGAACCCATCATGTGCTAGTAACAAAAGGTTATCCACTAGACTATTTTCTTAGCTTGTTCCATTTCATTGTATACTAATAAGGCTGTCAATATTTTTCCCCCTTCAGCAAAGAGTCTGATTTCACTGTGAATTCATATTGGCACAGATGGCCTTGAGATCCCGGATATTGTATATTGCATACACTTTGACAGATTTTACAATTGAAGGTGGTCTCAAGAAACAAATCAATGTACTGACTTGGCAATTAATTCTGACTAAAAAGGAAATATAGTTTCCTTGAAAAATTGGTTTAATTTTTATATTCAAACTTACATGCCCCTTGACCTGCTCTTATCAGTGAAGGTTAAACAGAGGGCACTGGGTCACAGCATGCTGGACACAACTAATTAAATAAGGGCTGAGCTGAGAAGGTGTCACTACTTGATTTAAAGGAACAGAGCTCTCCTGAACCTCTTTGGGGCTTGAAAAACATTTTGTCTCAGGGCAATGAAACTGAGACAGAAGGCACTCTTAAAATTTAGCAGTAATTTTATTTCCACAATACTCACTAACAGGACTGTGTTTCACCACTGTTAGGCAAAGTGAATTCATTGAAACTTCTAAGCTGCTATGTATCTGACCTGGTTCAAGGCCACCAAGACTTCAAATGAAGAGATGAGTTTAAAACGCTGCCTTTCCCCACAGGCCAGCAGTGGTGCTTCATTCCAGTGTCGGCTGCGAGTGTATTCTGTAGGCTTCGCCTCTCCCCTTTGCCCTCCTGTCGCTCTGTCTGTTTGACATGTTTATTAAATAGAAGCTTCAGGCTGCACAGACAGACCCAGGCTCTCCTCCTGCATCGCCCACCAACAACAGCCCTTTGCCTGTCTGGGGAAAGGATCCCAGAAGCCTCATAGTTGAGGGGGCTTCATGGTTTGTTTTTTTTGGGGGGTCAAGGTGTTGTGTTTTTTTTACATTCTTTTGGGAACATTGGGTTTATAGGGCTGTTTATTTGAATAATAACCAGTTGTTATTTATATTGCTTTCCTGTTTGAACATAAGTAAATAATTAGAATTGTATTTTTACCCCTGTGTTCAAGAAAATATTTTCTCCTTCAGAAAAAGAAAAGTATTAGAAGTTAGCTAAATGGTAACAGGAGATTCACAGGAGAATTTTAGCATTTTTATATTTTTCCACATTTTCTACAATGAGACGATTTGTACCATGGGAAAAAATAACTTCTTACAAATGGAATAAACTATGCTTTAGGTGGATAGTATGTCTTGATCCACAAAGTAAGAGTATTTCTCCATGTCTCTTTTCAGGTTAAATGTTACATTGATTATGGTCACTTATTAGAGCAAGAATCCCTAAACTGAACTGTCAAGCATAGTGCTCTAGAAATTTCCTATGTTCTTCCGGCACCATGGCAGAAAGTGCACAGGGTCCAGTCTTGCTTTGTGATTTGCAGCCCTGCCTGTCCCTGGGATGGGGAGTTCTAACTGCTCCTTGTCTTTGTCAGTCTATTGTAGGGGCAGAGGGCTTGTCCCTTGCATTCCGGCATATCGCCAGCTCTCTACTGGGCCACTGCAGCCAAGTCTCCTGTGAAAGCCTCCTTCATGAGGTCATCGTCTGTGTGGGCTACTTCACTGTCAACCACCCAGATAACCAGGTAAGAGGCCCTGGACAGTTCCTCAGGCAGCTCCCCCAACACTGAGAGTGTGAGGTATTGGATTGAGAAAAGGCAGGCTAGCCTGCTGGAACCCATCTGTCCTGCGTGAGGCCCTTTAACCAGACTCCAAGGACACCTCTCTGCCTTATTCTACCCAAAGAGATTTGATCAGCACTAGATGAGCACTAAGGCTTCCTCTTAGAGTTATAAAAATAAAATTTTTTCAATAAAATATTCAGTACACAGAAGCATCTACTCCCTTACCACAGAGGTTCTGATGTTCTATCCATATATTTGTTTCATTGTGATGAGGTAGAGTGCATCTTTCAGTTCGGGTCACTTTGCACGTAGCATTAGAGTCGGGTGCTTTATGAGGCCACTCTTGGCACTTGGCTTCTAGTTGCTTAGGGGGTGCTAGGTGGTGTTGGAGGGGGGCCTGAGAAAGCAGGACTTGGGCTTCTCCCCCTTGAGTCACTCAGAGTAGTTTCACTTTTAACTGTTTGGATTATGTGGTTTCCAAGCAAGATTTCATTTGTAAATAGGGTTCTGCTACTCTAAGAACTTGGGAAAACTGTTACCGATTTCGTAAAATAATAATGATGATGATGAGCACCTTATTTCTCTTCATTTTTAAAACCAGAGTAATGGCATAACTAACACATCAAATAGTAGTTCCTGATAGCCTCATTTATCTAAAACCTTCTGCAACCTCAACTGTATGGATTATAGCTGAGAAAAAGGCATCTGGACAACCATTAACCCTCACTCCAAGCTTAATAAGTTTTATTTTAGGCACATCTCTAACAACCGTTTATTAGCCTGCAGCAAACTAGACCAGGGCAGGAGAAGGACAGGAGTTGGTTATAGTGACAAAGCCAAGTTCAAGGTGAGAGCGGGGAAAGAAAAAATAAAAATAAGGCAGGGCCGAGAACTCAGAAACCACAGCCATCTGGATGAAAGGAACACTAAACCCTGTATTTATTTCCGAGAAGATCTGGATGCACCCAGTGCTAACCTTGAATGAGCATGGAGGCAAAATGTATGTTCTTTGCATTCCCTTTGAAGAAGGTTGAGGAGCATGCAGTCCATTCTGGAAAGAATTCCATAGTTAAAATATAGAAAATGTGGACCAGAACAAGTGTCATTTATAGAAAAGTTCCTCTTTTCCAGACACTGGTGCCAGGAGAACAGATCTTTTTCACTTCCCCCTCCCACCATGGGAACATTCTGGAAGTGCTTTCCCCTTGCTAACACCCCCCAGGTAGCGATGCATTGTCCTTTCCAGGCCCAGCAGGTTCATAAGTCTCTTACAAGCTGCTCTCACCATCTGAGATAGCCACTGTTAGCATTTTGGCAAGTTCCCTTACAGTCCTTATTCTGAATACTTTTTCCAGTTTTATTGAGATATAACTGACATACAGCTTTGTATCAGTTTTAGTGTACAAAGTGATAATTTGGTATGTGCATATTATACAAGATTAATACCACAGTAAGTTTAGTTAACATCCATCACTTCACATAGTTACAAATTTTTTTCTCATATGGTGAGAACTTTTAAGATGCACGATCTTAGCAACTTTTAAATGTATGTGTGATACAGTACTAGTCAACATGCTGTACACTACATCCCCAGAACATATTTATCTTAGAACTACAAGTTTGTACCCTATGACCACCTTCACCTGTTTCACATCCCCACCCTTCCATGAATATTTTACGTAGCTGAGATCATACTGTACATACATACTGTTATATCCTACTTTATACACTTAACATTACAGGTCTTCCTTTACTTACACTGGGGTTATGCCCCAATAAACCCATCAGAAGTTGAAAATATCTTAAGTGGAAAGCGCACTTAATACACCTAGCCTACTCTCAGGATGCTCGGAATACTTACATTAACCTACAGTTGGGTAAAATCGTCTAACACAAAGCCTGTCTTCTAGTACAGTGTTGAATATCTCATTTAGTTCATTGAATACTGCAGTGAAAGTGAAAAACCCAATGGTTTCTGGGTAGGGAATGGTTGTTAAGTGGATCAGTTGTTTACCCTCATGATCGCGTGGCTGACTGGAGGCCAGCTGGGAGCTGCCGCCACCCAGCATCACCAGAGAGTATCTTATCAGTAGCCTGGGAAAAGATAAAAATTCAAAGTACTGTTTCTACTGAATGTGTATCACTTTCATAAAATTCAAAAATCATAAGTCGAACCATCAGTCAGGCACTGTCTGTGTATCAAAACCATTCTTTGTGAATATCTATATTGAAGTATAGTTGACACACCTGTTGTGAATATCGTTTTGGCTGCAGGGCTCTATCCTGTGTAGACAGCCCGTGGTTTACAACTAATTTCCTGGTTTTTTTTTTAATTTTTTAATGTTTATTTATTTGGGGGAGGGGCAGAGAGGGGAGAGAGAATCCCAGGCAGGCTCCATGCTGTCAGCACAGAGCCTGATGTAAGGCTCAAACTCATGAAACTATGAGATCATGACCTGAGCTGAGATGAAGAGTTGGACAGTTAACCGACTGAGCCACCCAGGCACCTCCAATTTCCTGTTTTATACTTAAGTTGTTTATTATGTATCATGACACTATCTACTGGACTTGTAAAGAGGTCATCTGTGGATGTGAGAGTATTTTGCTGTGTTACAGTTCTACGGCAAGAGATAAGCTCCTTCACCATATCCGCATTCGGAGATGGTTTGAAACTTTTTGCTTAAGCCAACTCTGTTGTAATGAATTTGCTGAACTCAGAATTGTGTGGGATTTCAGAGAGTTTTTCTGCCAATGCCAGGTCACAGACTGATCCTTTCCTACAGATAAAGCACACCTCCTAAGTATCTGTGGGCTCACCAGAGTGAATGGGAAATGGGGTCAGGGGAACTGGCATTTGGAGATGCCATGACAGAGCAGTGACTGGGCACGTTGGGGCAAGCGGAAATAGACTAAAAGGGCAGAGAGAGCACCAAGCAGCACAAGCAGGAGACAAGTGCACTATGGCTTGTCATCTGGGGAAGAAGACACAGCAGCATTTGGAGATCATTGTTGAGAAGTGAGCTCACTAAGAGAAAGAAATTAGAAAAGGGAAAAAAGCCAGATCTTCTATTTTGACACCTAGCCTCCCAGAAAGATTGAATATTAAACTGGACATCCACTTCTGATTTGAGGCAAGATCAGAGAAGTCAGTTCAGCCCCAAGGCAATTAATGAAAAGCAACAATCTATGAGAAGAAAGAATGTGATAAAAAGTAGAGGAGAAATCAGAAATCAATAGACTTAGAGTAAGTGTCAAATACTGAGACACTGCATCTTATGGAGATGTGGTTTCTAAGCATGACCCCTGATATTTGTAAAATCGTTGATACCGTTTTTCCATCTGGTGTCTTTTGGACCTCATTAGCACTTCAGTGAGGACGTAAGTACATCAGGATGTAGTTCTGCCTCACATACAGGTAAGGGATCGGGATTTGAAGAGGTTATAAGTCCCCTGAAATGGTACAAAGAAATACAAAGATACAAAGAAAACTTTAGGTCCTGGGATGGTATAAATGAGCGTGTTTTATGAACACAAAATTGAACACAGTCTAGCAAAAGAAGGCCTGGGTTCTAACCCCCACTCTGCCACAAGCTGTGTGATCTTAAATCATTTTCCCTCTTAAGGCTTGAGCATGTTTGACTATACAAAGAGGTATACTGGTTCTGGAAATGACGGTGGTGATAGTGCACAATATTGTGAATGTACTTAATGCCACTGAATTGCAGGCTTAAAAATAGTTAAAATGGTAGGTTTTCTGTTACATATATTTTACCACAATAAAAAATGCTTTTTAAAAAAGGAAGTGGATTGTTCTAGATGACCTCCCTTGTGAGTTCCAGGAGTCTGTGATATTTTAAAGGCTAAGATTAGAACCACAGACAGACGAGCATTCTGATCTCATGAGGACTCCAAGCCATTTTGTGGTTTTTCAGATGCTCCTTGCCCTACTCTTGATCCTGTCAGCACCAGATGGCTTCATTAGCTGCCTGTCCACTCCATGGCAGTGAACCCTTAAAAGCTGCATATACCCTGGCTCCCCATATTAATAGAGGAGCTCCATTGACAAAACCAGTAAGCAGAGACTTACAGGTGAGATGTCAGGTGCCTTGCTCTGTGAAGCCATCTCTAGCTACAGTTGTTTCACCCACATCAAAGGGTTGTGCTCACCAGCTCGTGGCTGGGCTCCATGCCATCCAGCTGCATGGCAGGGGCTAGGGAGGGGAGAAATAACCCCAAGCTTACTAAGAGGATAACTGCTCATATCCCAGTAGAATTAGGGAGTTTTCTGTAACTAAACAGCTGATTGTTTATTTCATTCTAAAAACTTGTTTTACTAAATTCCCTTTCTAATCTCCCCAGTAATTTGCCAAGTGAGTGTTTGCTGAGGGGATGTGGTAAATTCAGCTTTAAGGTCTCATCCTTTAAGGTCATAGCTTCATGGAATCTTCACCTGGAAAGGCTCTGAAATATCTAGCCCAGCTGCCTCATATTACAGGTGGAAAAACTGAGGCTCAGAGGGAGGAAAGGAATTGCCAAGCCAAGAACTGGCACACCCAACTCACAGCTTGCAGTCAAGTTCCTGCCCTTTCCACCTCTCTGTTCTTATGGAAGTGAATGTACTTAACCTGATGCCACATTCTCTAAATCAGAGGAATTTCAGAGGAAAAATTATGATGCTCAATTCATTTAATGCTTCCGTATCATTAGTCAGTCATGTTAATTTGCAGGGCCTGTTTGTGCACAGTGGATCCTTTATTTTCTCCTGGGGAAACAGCTTGTGTCTTTAAAAGACAGGAGATTTTGAACTCCTGCTGCAGCCTAAGCCTGTTTTATTAGGTAACTGCTTTGCATAAAGGATTGGCACTTTTTATTTGCCACCATTTAGTCTATTAACTGCAAAGACAGCCCCCCGATACCAAAGATGACTTCAGGGAAGAAACCTGGATAATAAAAATAATACC